ATTTCTTATATGTGTTCTGAATTATGTCTAAAATATACCAAGGGAGGCCAATCATATTCCTTTGCTCTAGCCAGCTTTCTTGGGGGGAAACGAGAAAACTATTCACACTTTTAAACACAAACAAATGTAGTCAAATAGGTTGTTTGCAAAAACTGAGACTTAAAACTGAAAGTGTGTAAAGTAAAACTTACAATGAATAGAATATTTATTTGGGTGACACTGTGGTTGTTTATTACTTCAACACTGTCAATATGTAGGCTTCCATAGAAAATACAAACAGAAATTTTATCCTACCCTGTAGGGTAAGACAAGAAGCAATGGGTGGAAGCTCATTAAAGAGAGATCCAACCTGGAACTAAGGAGAAATTTCCTGCCAATTAATCAATGGAACAGCTTGCCTTCCAAAGTTGTGGGTGCTCCATCACTGGAGATTTTCAGAAAGGATTGGCCAACTGTTTGTTCAGGATGATATACTGTAATGTCTTGGGATGTGGGTTGTACTAGAAGACCTCCAAGATCCCTTCCAATTCTATGATTCTGTTCCGTTCCGTTCTGTTCCAGTCCAGTCCAGTTTACTCCATTCCATCCCATCCCATTCCACTTTACCCTACCCTAAATCCTACATAGAGGAGAGTTTGACAGGGGATGCAAGATTATTTCTAAATTAAAACACCTGAATTGACAATGTATCATTCATATATTAACTTACAAAGCAATATATATTCTGATGATGACCAAAACATATATGTAAAATATGGTGTGGGTAGGTAGGTGGTGGGAATCTGTTTGTCTTTGTGATGTCTTTGTACTTTTTGTATTGTCTTTATATCTTTGTTTAAAATCCAATTTAAAAAAAAGAGAGTTTGACGGGATAGAAATAGATAGAGAGAAAAATTATGGAGATTAGTTTTAAAGTAAATAATATTAATTCATTTTTAAAACCATTAATATGCAGGCACCCAATTAACATTAGCAAATGATTGCAAAGTATCTTTATTTGCACACACAAGCAAAATAATGCTTAGGATCATCCAATGTAGATCACAGTTCTCTCTGAAAGGAAGATGCCAGGTATTCAAGATGGATTTAGAAAAGGCCAATAAGCAAGAGGAAGGATTGCTGATGCATACTGGGTAATTGAGAAAGCAAAGAATATCAACAAGAAGTCAATATGTTAACCATAGCAAGGCCCTCGATCGTGCTCATCATGCCAAGCTATGGAATGTCTTAGAAAAACTGGGATCCCAGAGCATCTCAGTGGCCTCATAAGAAATATATAGGACATAAAAACAGAATCCAAATGGAAACATGTCCCATTCCAGATGGGCAAAAGTGTCAGATAAGCCTGTACACTCTCTCCATATTTGTTCAACCTATATGTAGAATATACGTCTATTGACAGAGACTGGATTGGAAGAAGAAGAGTTTGTTTTTAAAACTGATGACATATAAGGGGATCAATAGTTAAATAAGTTATTTTTTTTTACAGTAATTAAAAAATGATAAGACACCTTTGCTTTCAGGAGGGTGGACTCGGGGTGGGGGGGGGGAGGTTGAATTGATATTTTCCATGAATAATTCTAAACAACTTGAAACACAGAGCAAAAGCCTTTATTCTGTTTGCACTTGGACCAGCACTTCAAGTTTTTAATGACACCCTTCTGTTCCCACTGCTGCTTCTGACTTAGAATCGCTCTCTCTTTTTTCAATAAAGAGTTTAGTTTTCCTTTGTGGTTAGCGTCACGCACAATCTCATCAAGCAGAATCTCATCAAAAGCCACTTCAAAGACTGTTGCCCTCCCTTTTTCTTACAACTGTAACATCATCTCTTATGCTTTGGCAGTGCTAGAATGCCATGGAAAATATCTATGGATGGTGGGAGGGAACAATGCATTACAGAAGGAGAGGCATACACTAAAATTCAAACCAATTATCTGTAACTGCAAGGCATTTCAAGGCCCGGGAGTGGTGGACAGGACTCCAGGAGAGCAACCAGAAGCCAGGGGCATTTCTGCTCTCAGTAGTAAAATTATGGCACAGGGAGCCCTGGGCTTTACAATGTCAAGATTACCATATTTGGCATAGGAGCAACTGTTATGAAGTGGCAGCTATTTCTTAGTTTATATTTAAACACGCACATGTACACAGAGAATAAGTCGCAAAAAATAAATGGATTCCATTTTAGTTCAGCTCATTTAGCCTTCAGTATGGAATTTAGTCTTCTGCTGAAATTAATAAGCAAATAGACTCCTTCTGTATATAACCCTTGAGTTCCTCAAGATCCCTTCTGATGAAGTATGTTTAAAGGGAAAGGGAAAGGTTCCCCTCGCACATATGTGCTAGTCGTTCCCTCATCTCCATTTCAAAGCCAAAGAGCCAGCGCTGTCCGAAGACATCTCCAAGGTCATGTGGCCGGCATGACTAAATGCCAAAAGCGCACGGAACACTGTTACCTTCCAACCAAAGATGGTCCCTATTTTTCTACTTGCATTTTTTACATGCTTTCGAACTGCTAGGTGGCAGAAGCTGGGACAAGAATGGGAGCTCACCCCATTACACGGCACTAGGGATTCGAACCGCTGAACTGCCGACCTTTTGATCAACAAGCTCAACGTCTTAGCCACTGAGCCACTGCATCCCACTGAAGTATGCTTACGATTCTACAAAACTTACAAAATATCCCCCACCCCATAACAGGCAAGGATGGGGATCCTTCAGAAAATGTTTAATTGTTTTAATTGTTGATAGGTTTTCTGTCAACACAAGGGGCATAGGCCCTTATTGTTTGCAGTAACATTCACCCACCACAATCCTTGACTCCCCAATATGTCTCACTTGTCCTCTGTCATCCAAAAGTTGTAGCCTTTTGATTTAACAGAAGCATTTTTCCAAGCAGTTCAGAGGAGTAATTACTGCCAGCATTACAGCTACATGAATTGATCCTTGTACCTATAGAGATTCAACCAAGAGGTTTTCAGGGATCTCCGTTGTGGTTGCTACTGCACTGTCAGAGTGTTTACAGCATGACTACTATTTTGAGACAACCCAGGAGCAAAATACAGGACATAGAGGTTTGTCTACAAACAGTAGTTTATATAAAAGACTTCTATATATAGACATACACATGGTAGGCACATGCCAGGCAAGCAATCAATCTTCAACTCTACACTGAGAGTTATAATGCAGATAGAACACAATGAGGAGATACACGAGGAGAGAGAGAGAGACACCCTCTCATGGCCTCCCTTATATAGACATCTTCTTAAAGCAGCAATAACCCTGCTGACTCATCCTCAGTCTTAAAGCAGCAATAACCCTGCTGACTCATCCTGGTCCACAGCCTTACAGTGGCTGGTCAGCTTTAAATCTTCATTACCCTGACATGCACACTTGCTCCTCATCTCACTGAACTCATCTACAATATTTTGCAGAAAAAGCCATGCAGAAAGAACTAATGAAAAAAACCCCAATTAGCTTTCATTTTGTTTCAAATCTTCCTCCCTACAAAAACATTTTTAAAAATATGATAATTCGGACATAGCCCTGCCTATTTTACATCACTACACAACTCAAGATAGCTGTAGACTCTCCCCAAATGTGAAATGTGGCTTCTGGCCACCAAAAAATGGCCAACTCTGCTTTAAGTAATGTGTATATCCAGCTTGGTATCCATTTCCAGTACTGGTGTTGGGGTAGAAGAAAACTGCATAATAAAACAATAACTTCCTCCTTCTCATTTCTCATGTAAAGACCCTCCCCCACTCTTGTTTAGACTATAGGTAGACCTCAATTTACAACACATCTGAGCCCCAAATTTCCATTCCTAAGCAAGACAATTGTTAAATGAATTTTTACGACCTTTCTTGTCACGCTTGTTAAATGAATCACTGCAGTTGTTAAATTAGTAACACGATTGTTAAGTGAATCTGCCTTCCCCATAGACACTGTTTGTCAGATGGTCCCAAAAGATGATCATATGACCCTGGGAAACTGCAACCATCATAAATACATACCAGTTGCCAAGTGTCCGAATTTTGATCATGTGACCATGAAGTTCATCATCTGAAAAATGGTCACAATGCCCTTTTTTCAGTGCTGTTATAACTTCGAATGGTCATTAAATGAATGGTTGTAAGTTGAGGATTACCTGTGCAGCTCCAACCAGTATAGGAAGGCACCAAGGTGATAGGCAATTCTATAATCACTCTTTTGAAGTTTTGTCCAAATGATAAGGCATTTTGAGACAGATTCTTGCATGATACATCAGCAGATTTTAAAGATCTGGTTGTTGAATCTCTATCCTCTGTACAGATAATAATATTCATCACTCTTTGGGGAGGAAAATAACTGTCTTTAATAACTATATACTATACTTTGTAATGGGGGGATGTGGTGGCTCAGTGGCTAAGATGCTGAGCTTGTCGATCGAAAGGTCAGCAGTTCAGTGGTTTGAATCTCTAGTGCCACGTAATGGAGTGAGCTCCTGTTACTTGTCCCAGCTTCTGCCAACCTAGCAGTTCGAAAGACACAAAAAATGCAAGTAGAAAAATAGGGACCACCTTTGGTGGAAAGATAACAGCGTTCCGTGTGCCTTTGGTGTTTAGTCATGCCGGTCACATGACTACGAAGATGTCTTCGGACAGCGCTGGCTCTTTGGCTTTGAAATGGAGATGAGCACCCCTAGAGTCCGGAATAACGAGCACATACTGTATGTGCAAAGGGAGCCTTTACCTTTTATACTTCGTAATTGTGATTTTTAAAATCTATGATAAAGAATTCCTGGATTCACCCAGCTTTGCCTCTTTTATGGAACCAGAGCTGGATTTTGAGCTGGATTTATGGGAATTCTGCATGCACCCCAAACTATTTTCAATCAGCTGGAAAGTGGCATTGCCAAACCCCCACCGTGTCATACATATGTGGTGGGATTATACTCCCTTAGAAACAAGAATCTCATAAGAGTAAACTACAAAGCAGAAGAAAGCCCGGGGGACTTTGAATAGGGGTGGATTCCATTTATTCCATATGTGTGAAAACTGGACATGGAACAAGATTATCCATAACCACCAAGTCAAGTCATCTTCATGTGTTACACCCATAACCCTCCCTGATTGAAATCCCCATAAATCTCTTCCATCATTAATCAGCTTCTTTGTCTAGTACAGCTTGATTTCAAATTGGGCTGTTTTTATTTCTCTTTCCAGCACATTGATCCCTGCAGGAAAAGAAACAGAAGACAATCTCTAAATACTGTATATAAAATAACTTTTAATACAGATGGCAAAAATGTTATTTTCAAAAAGAAAGATCAGTTCCTGATGACAAGGCACTGACCTTTCAACTTTCAAATTGCTAGAATATGTTGAAAACATAATAAATATGATAAGGAATGTCCTGTATATTCTAAACATAGAATCGAATTCACAACACGAAAAAAACTGACCTCCCCACAGAAAGCAGGCAAATTTCACATGACATTTCTGGAAAATATATTTTATATACCGATCATTTTCAAAAATGCTTCAGTAACAATTTTAACCAAAACCTTGTGTGGGATATGAGTGTTTTTGTGCTCTGCATGTGTCCTTTTGAATTAAGCAAAGTGTGTTTCTATTCAGGTAGTGTCTCCCTTTAGAAAACAAACTTTTTATTTCAATGTTTCCAAACCTTGGTGACTTCCAGATGTGCATACCAACTTCAAATCCCAGGATGATCAGCAACTGCCATGCTTGATAGTGGGTACAGGATTATGTAAAAAGAGTGATGTAGAGGACACCAAATTTTTGGCCTTAGATTAGACCAGGGGTCGGCAACCTTAAACATTCAGAGAGCCATTTTGACCCGTTTTCCACAGAAAAGGAAACTCAGGGAGCCACAAAACTCTTCCCGTACCCTGAGCCATTTCCTGAGTGGCCACAGGACTAGCATATATATGTTTTCTTCTGAAACTTTTATTTTCTTGGATTTATCCATGATTGGTCTGCCAGGGATTGAAAAGCTTAATAAATTGCACGTCGGTGGGTGTCGCACATTGGCAGTTGTGACGCATATTTTGAGTGACCGTGAGCCACAGCAGAGGGATGAAAGAGCCACATGCGGCTCCAGAGCCGTGGGTTGCTGACCCCTGGATTAGACCAAAGGTTAGAGATCCTTGGTGCTCTCTGAGTTTAGTAGTTTTCTTGCAGACATTTCATTATCCAAGGTAGTGCTAGGGAGGGAGATACAAATATTCACCTTTCCTGGTTCCAAAAGATTCTTCACCAAAAGATTCTTCTGAAAGCTGAACAGCTATGGATGAAGAGGACAGGTCCTCATTGGCCAAGGGACAGAAAATAGAGGATAGGAAGGAGCTGCCTAAGATACTGTTTTTAGAAGCAGATAATGGATTTTGTTGTTCTTTGTAAAAGATGAGGTTAGAGGCAGTTGTGACAAGAGTTTTACAGAATTGTAAAAAGCAGAAAACAAAGGAAACAATTTATAAAATAAACTATTTTCTTGTTACCCTCTCTTTCTCTAAAAAGAAAAATGTGTTTTTCTAAATTAGAAGTTCTAAAATTTTAACCCCAATATATTTTTTCCAGCTATGTCTTTAAATTCTACTTCAGACTCTGTGGGTATTCCATTTTGATTCCATCATTTTAACCTCTTGTTTGGCTGGAATCCATCTGCAATGTTACTCTAGAGCGGAGTGTGATGGTGGGATAAGATGAGGTGTCTTCCAAACCATCTGTTCCTTTGGACCCCAAATTCTTAAACTGGCCCTGATCTCAGCTAGTTGGCATTTGCACAGTTAACATGTGTACCCACTGTGATCATTGATGACAATTACACATGTACCATCCTTATATTCCAGCTTGACTATTGCAAGAAGCTGTTTGGAGCAGGGGTCTCCAACCTTGGCAACTTTAAGACTTGTGGACTTCAACTCCCAGAGTTCCTCAGCCAGCAGCTGGCTGAGGAACTCTGGGAGTTGAAGTCCACAAGTCTTAAAGTTGCCAAGGTTGGAGATTCCAGGTTTGGAGGAACTGTAGAACTGGTGAATGCAATCCTTTCTAAAACCCGTTTGTTAAGTAGGACTTCATTCTGTTTTCTTTTATTCCTTTCATTATTGGCCTGGCAAACAGTTTGCCATACTCTTGAAATGCCACCCCAGTGTCACACATAGCTTCTTTCCCACCCAGTTTCTTGCATTTATGTAAAACCCAGTCGCAGGTTTGTGTTTCAAAGAGACGAACACAACATGGCTGGTTTTTGCACTGTGCAAATTGAGATTCATTGTAGAGGACATCTGAGAATCCCCACAGCACACAGGAATTCAGTGGCAAACGTATGGGTGGTGACTTAGTAAAGGGGGAAAAAAAATCAGTGCAGGAAAGGTCCCTGCGGGAAGTTTGTTGGAAAACCACCAGGGTAGATAATATGGCTTATATTTGCATGCCTGGCATCTGGCTTTCTTCTGCAAAAACTAAGCTATTTTTAGCATCCCAGTATTCTGCGTGCAAGGATTCTGTTTAGGGAGATATGCTCTGTAGATTAGATGTTTGCAGTAGAAGGAGGTTGGAATAGCAATGGCAGACAACACCAAAGTACAAATTTGTTTTTAGAATTATAACAACAAAAAGCTAAAACTGTCATTAGAAATGTGTGAGGATATGACCTGACTGGTGAAGTAAAATAGGGTTTTTTTTTCTTCATGTCTCAATAACCTGCTGCATAGATAATCTGTATCTGCATTATTTTCTGATCAGTCTTGATTGATTTGCCAGGGGTTTGGTCTGAAAAACCTCTTAAGTGTGCAGACTCTGAATTCATTGGATTCAACTCATTTACAGTTCTACAGAGGAATTATTAAGTCTGTCATCTGCACCTCTATAACTGTCTGGTTTGGTTCTGCAACCCAACAAGACAGACACAGACTTCAGAGGATAATTAGAACTGCAGAAAAAACAATTGCTACCAACCTGCCTTCCATTGAGGACCTGCATACTGCACGAGTCAAAAGGAGGGCTGTGAAATATTTATAAACCCCTTGCATCCGGGACGTAAACTGTTTCAACTCCTACCCTCAAAACGACGCTATAGAGCCGTGATGGTGAACCTATGGCACGCGTGCCAAAGGTGGCACGCGGAGCCATATTAGTGGGCACGCCAGCTCAGATCTGGGGCGCATGCGTGCGCCGGCCAGCTGATTTTCGGGCCTTCTGGGCCCACCAGAAGTAGGGAAACAGGCTGTTTCCTGCCTCTGGAGGGCCTGGGGTGGGTGGGGAAGGCCCGTTTTTTTTTCTTACCTGGCTCCAGATCCTCTCTGTGTATCTGGGAACGGCGAAAACAGCCTTTCCCACTTCCTTGGAGGCCCTACGGAGGCTCAAAGGGCCCATTTCCCCACTCCCGGTGGGAGAGGAAGTGACGTTTTTTCTTGTCCCCAGCCTCCAGAGACTCCTAGAGAGGCTCCTAGAGACTCCTAGAGAGGCTCCTAGAGACTCCTAGAGAGGTTCTGGAAGCTGGGGACAGGAAAAAAGTCACTTCCTGTCCCACCGGGAGTGGGGAAATGGGCCCTTTGAGCTTCCGTAGGGCCTCCAAGGGAGTGGGAAAGGCTGTTTTCACCGTTCCCAGATACACAGAGAGGATCTGGAACCAGGTAAGAAAGAAAAACGGGCCTACCAGGCCATCATGTGCCAGGAGTGGGGGGGAGGGGGAGGGGGTTGCGCACACATGCACGTGGGCACGTGCGCGCGTGACCCTCCCCCGCCCCCCCTCTCCTGGCACGCGATGGCAAAAAGGTTAGCCATCACTGCTATAAAGCATTGCACACCAGAACAACTAGACACAAGAATAGTTTTTTCCCAAATGCCATCACTCTGCTAAACAAATAATTCCCTCAACACTGTCAAACTATTTACTAAGTCTGCACTACTATTAGTCTTCTCATCATTCCCACCATCCATCTCCTTCCACTTATGACTGTATGACTGTAACCTTGTTGCTGGTATCCTTACGATTTATATTAACTGTTTCCTAATATGATTTGATTGCTTATTTGTACCCTATGACTATCATTAAGTGCTGTACCTTATGATTCTTGACAAATGTATCTTTTCTTTTATGTACACTGAGAGCATATGCACCAAGACAAATTCCTTGTGTGTCCAATCACACTTGGCCAATAAAGAATTCTATTCTATTCTATTCTATTCTATTCTATTCTATTCTATTCTATTCCATTCCATTCCATTCCATTCCATTCCATTCCATTCCATTCCATTCTCTCATTCTTCAATTCAAAAAAGGGAGGAAAAACAATGCAGTTGCACCAGCCAAGCTAAAATTAATTTGAGGTGTAGGTAATCCTGTCTATGAGGCAGGAAGCAGCAGTGGGGAAGGGAAACAGCTGCCCATGCACACTTCCAAAAATGTGCCCCATAGGGAGATTTCTCAGAAATGTTATTGCTTTAGCTCTCACTGTCAATTTTTACGTTAGTCATGTACTGCAAGCTTACATCGATTGGCACTGGCAAACTAGATTTCTTAAAATATTTGGGGACTTCCAGGTTTCCCAAGGCTCCTGTTTTTTACTCCAGGATCTATTATTTCATCTTTTTTCAAAATTCAAAATACATGCAGGAATGACTAAAAATTCCCCAGCCACCTTCTTGAGGTTACCAAGGTTGAGAAACACTGCTCTTGTGATTCCTGTGCTGAGTAGCAGGTTGATATAGATGACCTTTAAGACTTCTTTCATCTCTAAGTCTTTGCTTATTATTACTACAGATACAATTTAGTTGACCTTGCATGTATTTTGATTTTTAAAAACCAGCAATCAGAGGCACCGTGCGCCGGTCCTTCACTGTTTTCAAGGTGGCCCCACAGGCCAGATCTAAGCACCCGGCAGGCCACATCCAGCCCAAATTGGGCACGACTTACTTAACAACTGCTTTGTTTAGCAACCAAAATTCTGGTCCAAACTACCATGTTTCCCCGAAAATAAGAACCCGTCTTATATTTTTTTGAACCCCGAAATAAGCGTTTGGCCTTATTTTGGGGGAGGTCTTATTATTTTGGGATGCGTGGAGAAAACCAGAGGAAATGGCGGGGACCGGCTGCACATGCATTTAAATATTTTCGGGGAGGGTTTATTTTCGGGGGGGGGTGCTTATTTTAGTGCATGAGCTCAAAAGCCCGATTGGGCTTATTATCAGGGGATGTCTTATTTTAGGG